GCCTGTAGAGGAGAGTATCAGTACTCAAAGTACTAGGTGCCCTTGTATCTATCTAGATGACTCAGAACTCTAGACAATGCTTTATCTCATACAGCTAGCCATCCACCAGTACACCAAGGCCCCCTCAATGCAGACATCTTGCCATCACCCCGACATCACACATGCACATACATACTGTCCACTTCTCATTTTACCCCTCCCTTCTCAGAGCATCAATCCTCAATTTATGCGTTATCTCCCTAATATAATGTAAGCTGGGGTGTGGGGGAGAGGGACTAACTTTTATATATATGTATATTTTTTTCCCATGAGGCAATTGGGCCTAAGTGACTTGCTCAGGGTCACACAGCTAGTAAGTGGCAAGTGTCTGAGGTTGGATTTGAACTCAGGTCCTTCTGACTCCAAGGATGGAGCTCTATCTGCAGCACCACCTAGCTGCCCCTAACTTTTTTATTTCAATCCCAGCACCTAGTACAGTACTGGAAAAAGATGCTTAATAAATGCATTTTGATTGCTCACCATGAAGATACCTCCTCAATCTATATCTTCATCCCCAATCTCTTGAGCTCCAGTCTTAAATCACCAACTGCTGTTTGAACATAACTTACTACATGTCTCATAGGCATCTCAAACTCAACATGTCCCCAAATGGACCTTATCTCCTCTCCACTTACCCCTTCTCAAACCCATCCCAAGTCCTAACTTTCTTTTTCCGTTAAAGATACTACCATCCTTATTACCCAGATTGCAAACTTGAAATTCTCCCTGACTCTTTCTCACCCTCAACTCCATCCTTTTCTTGCCACTACCCTAATTCAGGTCCTCAGTACCTCTCACAATTGCTAGATTGGTCTACTGTCTCAAATGACTCCCTTCAAACAATCACACAGCTGTCAAATTGATATTCCTAAAGCACAGGATTGACTACTTAACTCCTCTGCTCCAAAACCTCCTGTGGCTCTGTACTTTGGATAAAATACACACTCCTCTGTTTGGCACATAAAGCTTTTCACAGCTTAATTTTCCTATAAGCAACATTTTCCTTCATGCATACTACATATTCAACTAAACTGGCCCTGAACTTGTTCCACCTTCCATCTCTGCGTCCTTGTATAAGTTGTCCTGCATGCCTACCATGGCCTTCCTCCTCTGCCTCTTTGAATCCCTAGTTTTTTGGGTTTTTTTTTTTGGCTAGGCAATGGGGTTAAGTGACTTGCCCTGGGTCACACAGCTAGTGAGTGTTATGTGTCTGAGGCCAGATTTGAACTCAGGTCCTCCTGATTCCAGGGCCAGTGCTCTATCCACTGTACCACCTAGCTCCTAGTTTGTTGTTTTTTTTTAAGCGCCTGCTTATACCACCTCCTATGTGAAGCCTATCCTAATTCTCTTGGTATATTACCTTATATGTTCTTTGAATTTGTCCATCTGTGTACATGTTGTCTCCGTCCCCCATCAGAACATGTTTCTTCATTTCACAGTACCTACTACATATTAGGCACATAATAAATTCCTGTGGAATAAATTAATGAACATCACATAGGTAGTAAGTAACAGGACTTGGCTTTGAATGCAGGTTTTCATGGTTCTAAATCCAGTTCTCTGTTTACTATACCACATGAAGGGCAGTCTGGAGGTAAGGACAGAATTGACTGTACAGTCTGTAAAGGGGGACTCTGGAAGGTGTGTTTGAAACAAGTATGTTTTGTTCTATACCAAACTCTGTGGAATCTTTGAGAAAACATATGATAGGAATGAAACCTGGAGTATTGGTTCTGACTGGGGCACAGTGGTTTCTCTGTACATATGAGACAAAAGATAGCCTTGCAATAAGGAGGGCATTCATCATTTTCTGGCAGTATGTGGGTTAAGGGATGAATAAGGCCTCAGTCATTGACATCATTGGATCTATATATTCCTGGTAACTCATGGTAGCCAGAAAAAGCTCATATAATTAGATGTAGGAATAGAACATTGAACCTTCTCCCTGTAAAGGTCTGTTTAGAGCTGAGCTCTGGTTTCTAGTTTTTCTCCAAGTGGACCATGAAGTTCAAAACTTTTACAGCAATGAAAAGGGAAGAGGATATGTACAGTTATGCTTCACTTTATGCAATGTGTGGACTCAAAAAAAAATTGCATATGAAAGGAGGTTTTGAAAATTGTATCTGCTCTTGAATATAGGCAGGGAATGGAAAGTGTCTTGTTTATTAATACAAATCACTGTCTTCATCCCCAACACCCAGACAGTTTTCTAAGTTTGGCATTTATATACATATATATTATATATATATATATATAATATATATATATATATTTTTTTTGGTAACCTGTGGCCCAGGACTCCCTATGAACTCTCTGATCACATAATACAAACTGGGTCTAGCTTCCAAGACTCTTTCTCTCTTAGGCTCATTAAGCCTCTCTCTGCATTAGAGTTTTACTTCAGAGAAATCTCTAAGACAAAGCTTAAGTATAGGTTGTGTCTAGGTTTCCCCAAATGTGTGTTAAAGGTCCCTAACTCCCATACAGGAGCTCAGTGTACAATTCTGACATTGGGTATGGGACAGACTTTATTTCACCACCATAGAAATTGCATAAGACACAAAGGACTAACAGAAGCCCATGAACAGATACAGAAACACAGAAAGTGTTAAAATATCCCACCCGGAAAGAATATAAACTGTGTGAGATGGGCTTCTGAACAGGCAGTCACCTTCCCATAGGCCTACACTGTATGAGTTACAGAAAAGTTAGTAATGGAGTTTGCAAGGTACAGATCTTTTGCCCTCCTTGTGGCATACTCCACTAAGATTTTAACAGCAAGGTGATCTTATGTTTGTGATCTACTTTCTTTAAGAAGCACACTGTTAGGGAAGTCTCCCTTAGGAGGCTGGTGCCCAAATGCTCAAACTTATGGACACAAACCTGGAGTTAGTTAACCATGAAACAATTTCCAAATCTAGTACTAGAAGGCTAAGTTCTGGGATCATGCTACCTGGGGTATTAAAAATCCCCCCTCTAGTACAAAGGAATTTGGGGTTGACAAACACTGAACCCAATTGTCCACTGGGGCTGAGCAGACATATACATTTCTACCTCTGCCAGATTCTGCTACAGGTAGAAGGCAACTGTAGTGGTACAGTGAATGGACCGCTGGACCTGAAGTCAGGTGGGACCTGAGTTCAAATCCAGCCTGAATGTGTGGTGCTGGGCAACCTCTGTCTGGCTCACTTTCCTCATCTGTAAAATGGGGGTTACTAATAGCACCTACTGTCCAGTGTTGCGAGATAAAATTTTTAAAGTGCTTTGCAAACCTTAAAACAGTCGATAAATGCTAGCTATTATAAACTACTTTTCTGGGAAAAGAGAAATCTTGATTTCCCTGCCTGCTAAACTCTAAAAGAAGATGCAAGGGAAAAAGGACAAAAGAAATTCTGTGTAAGTAAGGTGGATTTTAGTGTGTGTAAGGAGGATTTTGTTATTCCTTTTTAGATAGTAGTTGTAGGATCCGAGATAATATTCCTCCCGGTTATGGTTTGTAAACATCTCCACTACACTTGCTCAGTGAGATATAGGGGTGACACAATGTACACGTGTGTTGTGCTAGGTCATGGTGATATTGATAAAGTTAACCCGTGAGCTTAACGTTGGCAAGATGCCTTCTTTGTCTGTTGCTCTATAAATCAAGTGGGCACGGGTCAGTAAATGGGGAACCCACTCTGGGGATTTGGGTAATGCAAAGAGGAATGCATGTACCTACCTTGATTGGCCCCCATCAAAGCTTGGGGGAAATCTGTGTTTGCCTCAGCCTGCCCCCATTGAGTTTAGATGATGAGGAGTTGTACTCAACTCCTATTCTCACCTGTCCCTATGAGAAGAGTGATTAGGGAATGCTGTAGAAGTTGGTGGTCCTATTTATCAGCAACCCTTTTCAGAAGACTAGACTAGAATAAAGTAAGCTTATTTAGCCCCTCTGGAGCTGTGTTCCTGGATCAAAATGAACCTGTGCTAGAACACCTGTTAGTGTTAGGAGCCCTTCTGTGTTCTCCTGCCCAACAAACATTCTGAAAGTAAAGGGGTTTCCTGAGATGGTCTCATATCTTGATTTATATAATTTAGGGATGGAGAGGTTGCTCCTCTCAAAGGAATCTAGTGTCTCTGATTTTCAATCACAATTCACCTTGGAAGCATTCCCACTCACTGAAAACTAGTACATGTGGTGTGCCACCATGGCAGCTACGCTTCACATGCTTCCAAAGACCCACACTTTAAGATGGCCATCAAGAAGTCCTGGATGTCATCTTTCACTCAGGCTAAAGCAGGAATGGAATATGAAGCTTTCACCGGAGCTGGAAAGACCTGGTTCCAGTGAAGATTTTGACACTTTCTGGCTGTGAGACCCTGGACAAGACCCTTTACTCTCCAGACCAGAGGCGTCAAACGCACCGCAGGAACCAAATTAAAATGTAATTAGGAAATATTTAAACAAAATTGCAATAAAACATAGATTACAACAATGCATTTTAAGATTAAATCAATAGGAGCCCGCAGGGGTCCTTATGAACAGATTATTGACACCCCCCTCCCCCTGTTGCAATTTGAGTTGGACGCCCCTACCCTAGGCAACATCTAAGCCGCTCAAACTTGCAAAGGAGGTCAGTGCACGCATTGGTAGGTGTTTGCTCCCTCGGGAGTACCAATGAAATCACAGGTGCACTGCCTATGCCTTTCTACTATCTCCCTGATCGACCTCGGGCAAGTCTTTCCTCCTCCTGTGGCCCTCGGTTTCGGCGTCGGTAAAACGAGGGGCCTGGAATACAGGAGCTCTTGGATCCCGCCCACTCCCGCCAGCCCTAGGAAAGACCCCCAGCAGTTCCAAGGCCTCCCATCCTCGTCCTCAGGCCTCGGGGTGGGGGGGCCCCGCCCTTCTGGCGATGACGTCACCACGCAGACGACGCAATCCTTAGCAACCGGCGCGCAGGTCGGCTCCGCCCGTCGCGGCCATGGCTTCTGTTCCCGCCCGCAGGACCATGGAGGTGGCCCTGCAGGAAAGGCCGCCGCCCCGGCTCCGCGAGCCTTTGCGCCGCCGCCCCGACCTCCCTGCCCGGGCCTCGCCTCTGATCCTGCTGCTGCTGATGCTTGTCTTCCCGGAGCTGCTCAGCGGTGAGGGCCCTTTGAGCTCAAGGCAGGGTTCTGGGGAACCGAGGCCTCGCGGCCGGCCTGGCCCAGAGGGTGTCGGGGGCTGCGGCGCCCGGGCCTGGAGGGGGTCAAGGGTCATCGACCGGGCTGGGGGGAGGTGTAGGGGGGAGGAGCCAGGGGGACGGGGGAGGGATCTGTGAGAAGGGGCAGGAGTGACTGAAGGGTGGAGGGGCTCTGTGAGGAGGGGGCCAGGAGTGACTGGGGGGCGCCCTGGGGGGGGGGGGAGGGGGGGACGGAGGGGGGGGGGGGCTCTGTGAGGAAGGGGCCAGGAATGCCTGGGGAGGCTGTGTGAGGAGGGTGCCAGGAGTGACTTGGGGGGGGGCTCTGTGAAGAGGGAACCAGGAGTCACTGGGGGGTTCTGTGAGGAGGGGGCAGGAGTGCCTGGGGGGCTTCTGTGAGGAGGGAGCCAGGAGTCACTGGGGGGGCTCTGAGGAAGGGGGTCAGGAATGACTGAAGGGAGGCTCTATGAAGAGGGGGGGCTAGGAGTGACTGAGGGGGCTCTGTGAGGAGGGGGCCAGGAGTGACTGAAGTGGGGGCTCTGTGAGGAGGGAGCCAGATGTGCCCGAGGGACCCAGGACCAGCTGAGGCTATGTGGGGGAGGAGAAACCTGAGGACCAGGGCACCTGAGAAGCTTGGGGGTCGGGAGGGGGTCAAGCCCAAGAGTGACTAAGGCAGGCTGGAAAGGAGAGTCTGGGGCCTTGGACTGTGAAGCCAGGGTGCAAATCAGTCAGTGTCTGGAATAACTGAGGCTTTCTTTGTGTATGTGTAGAGTGAGGCAGTGGGAGGACACATTTTAGAGTGAGGCCAGGGGAAGCACGGCAAGGGTGCCTGTGAAGTTTTTTTGGGCAAAGAGGTTTAGGATGAGGAGTCAGGCTTAGTAGGAACAGAAACTTGGGGCACTGTGAGGTCTGGAAAGAGGGACTAGGACATTGGGGGTGGTGGCTGTTCTGGGAGGAGGAGCTACACCCCCCCCCCAAACCCACAGAGGCCAGGAGTAAGTTAGGTTGATATAATAGTCAAAACAGATAATGGGCTCTTGAGCTACATCAGAGAGCCATAATTTCCAGGAAAAAGGAGGTGATTCTGTCTTCATCAGACTGTACTTGGAATAGTGTGTTAGGACAGAGGAATGGTGTGAGGTTGGGGGGAAATGTGAGGGTACTGAAAAGTCACTGGGAAGATTAGAAAATAAAACTGAAGAACATCTGTGGGATGCACTGAAGAGCAGGGAGATTCAGGGTTGTCTGGGGGATTGAAGAGTTGGGGTGGTTGAATTGAGGCTTGGGTATAGCTGAAAAAGGGGGGACTAAGGAGTGGGGTGATGGGAGGAATTGAAGGGAAATTATATCACTAAAGGGAACTTAGAAGTAGGGATAGAGAAGTGTCACTTTTGGATTGTTCTTTCCCTTACATTAAGCCTAAATTTTGCTTCTTTGTAACTTTTACCCATGGTTCCTTGTTCTACCCTCAGGCCAAAGAACAGACAGTTATAATAACTACCACCTTTAAAGGTGTCCACCCACCTTCTCTCTAATTTCCAGCTTGTCATTGTCCTTTCTAAACTGTGCAGCACATGAATAAATACCTTGGGTCCTGGGTGGGAACTGAAGAAGGGCTGACTGAGGCAACTGAGGAATGGTTGGGGTTCACTAGGAAATGAGGAATTGAAGAGTTGGAGGTCTGGAACTGAGCATTAGGAATCACTCTTTGGGAGGGACTGAAGAATGGCTCTTGGCAGGGAGTAGGGGAGATTCAGAGCTGATTGTTTAGAGGGCATTGAAGAGATGGAGACCTTAGTAACTGATATGAGTTGTCTTGCTAAAGAGCAGGGGCTACTTTAGACTGGGGGAGAGAAAATGAAAAATATCTTTGTGGTAGAGAGGACCTTAGCATATTGGGAGGATGATTTGGATATGAGCAAACTTGCTCTGTATAGGAAAAATTACTTCACAAAAGTTCAAAGGTGAGGGTGATTGAAGTTAAAAGAACAAAGAAAGGGTCTAATGTTGAAGTGCTGTATACATGGCCCTCTACTTCTACAGGGGCAGTTGTTTCTCCCTAACCTTTGATCCTTGTCTTTACCCTGTTGTCCAACTTGATTTTTCAAGGACCATTCTTCTAATAAATACCAATGAAAATAGAACTTTGTAAATGGAGCACAAGATATAAATACTATATGAAAAAAAAATCTGAAACATCTGCAAATTGTGGCATGACACTTTGGGGGAGAAAAATAAATCATTCAAGCAATTAATCATTTGTGAAATTGAACAAAACCTTTCCTTCCAGGACAGGATAGAGTTTCTGAAGAGTGATCTACTTGTACTTCCCAATTTTAGGTTATCAGTTAGGAACAACAAAGGTATCAGAACAGCTATACTTGCTCACTATTGTCAGAAGACAGTCACCTACCTACCCTGCAGCTCTGCCAGGGCAGAGACCTGAATGGAGTTTCCCGACCCTGAAACTAGAATCTCAATTCAGTTTAACAAGCACCTTATTTAAGCACCTACCACATACAAGGCAAAATATGCAGGGATCAGACCTTGCCTAAGATTAGAGACAATGGGCAGTTTTCATGTTCTACTCCTCACTTGGACACTGTGTCTGATTGAAGCTCTTTATCCCTATTTCTCAAGTGATGCTAGTCAGATTATCCTTTTGGGTTACTAATAATTGTGTGAGAAAAGCTGTTTTTAAATGTGTATTTTCTGTGGGAAATCTAAAGAGAAATGGTCAAGTTTCTCTTAAGAGAAACTCAGTTCTTCCAGTCAGTGGAAATTTTCCTGCGTTAGATTTGGTCTTAAGTGCCCCTTTCATCTCATATTTTAGTTTGGAGGAACCTCAAAATAGAACTGCCATCAAAATAAATGAGCTTATTCATTTAGAAAGAAGCCCAAAATATGGACATGTAAATTTTATGAAGAAAGGCAGTTTTATGTAAAGATTGACTAAGTAAACATAGTTGTGCCATAGCATAGATACCTAGAACATTAGAATTGGAAATGAGGAAAGGTAAGAGAGATGACTTGAGGAATTTGTTGAGTTGTTTCAGTCATGTCCAACCATCTTTGTAGCCACATTTGGGGGTTTTCTGGCAAAGATATTGGAGTGGTTTGCCATTTCCTTCTCCAGCTCATTTTGCAGATGAAGGAACTGAAGCAAACCGTTAAGTGACTTGCACAGGATTACATAGCTAGAAAGTGTCTGAGGCCAGATTTGAACTTGGTCCACCTGACTCCAGAGCAGGCACTCTATCCTGTGTCACCTAGCTCTCTGACTTGAGGAATAAGGAATATTAATTGGACCTATGGTACAGTCACTAGTACAGAGAAATCCTATGTGAGGAAATTCTACCAATGCAGATCATCACCTTCTCTTCAACTTAAAATAGAGTATTTTGTAGAGCACTGATTCTTTTTTTTTAATTAATTTATTTTGATTTATCAATAATCACTTCCATATGCTTTTGAGTTTAAAATTTTTCTCCCCCTTCCTCCCCACCACCCTCCTCAAGATGGCGCATAATCTGATATAGGCTATACATTCACATTCCTATTAAACATATTTTCACATTAGTGATGTTGTAAGTAAAAATTAAAACCAATGGGAGGAACTATCAGAAAGAGGAAACAAAACTCAACGTAAGAGAAAAAAATTAGCAATTCGGCTTCCATAGTTCTTTCTTTGGGTGTGGATAGCATTTTCCATCAGGAGGCCTCTGGAGATGTCTTAGATCCTTGAATTGCCAGGAAGAGTTAAGTTTATCAATATTACTCATCGCACAACGTAGCTGTTATTATGTACGATGTTCTCCTGGTTCTGCTCACTTCACTCAGCATCAGACCATTTAAGTCTTTCCGGGTTTTTCTGAAGTCAGCCTGTTCATCATTTCTTATGGCACAGTAGTATTCCATCACATTCATATACCACAACTTGCTCAGCCATTCCCCAATTCATGGGCATCTCAATTTCCAATTCTTGGTCACCACAAGAAGAGCTACTATGAATATTTTTGTACACATAGGTCCTTTTCCCGTTTGTGTGATTCTCTTTGGGATATAGCCCTAGAAGGAGCACTGATTCTTTAAGTGACTTGCCCAGGCTCAGGAAATATGTCTCAGAAGGTAAGATTTGAACTCAGGCCTTCCCAGCTTTGAGGCTTGGTCTCTGTTCATCCTGCTGTGCTACCCATTTATATTGGGACCATTTCTCTGATTTGTACTATTGTGGTCTTGAGTTGGTAGCTGTAGTTTCAATTGAATAATACTTCAGATAAGTTTATGGAGTTTTGCAATATTAGAGCTGGAAGGGACAATGTCTAGTGCATACCTCAAATTTTATAAATGGGGAAACTGAAATCCAGAGTGAGAAAGTGACTTTTGAAAGAATACTGCTAGTTTGTGGAAGAGCCAGCACTAGGTGTTCTGACTTTTCAGTACAGATTGAGTTTAGCATTTCCTGTTTGAATAATCAGACAATGAACAAGCATTGTTAAATTTCTACTTAGTGCCCGATGTTGCACACAAAAGACAAACATTAACTTGTCCCACCCTCAGCTATTCTAATCAGAGAACAAGTACATGTAAAATTGTATTCAAAATAAATTCGAGGTAATTTTATGGGAGGAGGTGATATTTGAGCTGAACTTGGAAGGAAATTAGGATTCTGAAATACAGCAGTGAGGATTTTAAAAAGTTATTTTGTTTTTTCCCCAATTAACATGTAGAAACATGTTTTAGTATTTGTTTTTAAAAATTTTTTTGAGTTCCAAATTCTCTCCCTCCTTTTGCTGCCCACTTCATTGAGAAGGCAAGCAGTTTTATATAGGTTGTACATGTGTGGTCATGCAAGACATATTTCCATGTTAGTCATTTTTTTTTTCTTTTCTTTTTTGGTGAGGCAATCGGGGTTAAGTGACTTGCTCAGGGTCACACAGTAAGTGTCATGTCTCTGAGACTGGA